CAGAAATAATGCTATTACACTCAGCGCTGAGTTCCTACATCACCATATTGTATGCCCCACTAATTGGACTTACCAACCTTGATGACCGTGCGTACTTGTATGCCAATGATCGCATAAAAGTATTAATCGTATAATGTGCTTATACATGTATATACATACATACATGTATACATATACATATATACATATATACCCTGCAGGACATTTTAGTGTTTTTTTAATGTAAAGTTTTTCAACAGAGTTCGAAAGGAAAATAAATTTTGTAATTTTTTCATTTAATACATATTTATATTTTACCATTTTTTCAACACAAAAAATATAATATCTTAAAATACATTTCCAACACAGCGAAATATATCTTGGTGTGGCTTGGCTTTAATGGATAGAAATTTAATTATTAGAGACATTTGATAAATAATTATTTTTAGGTTTGTTGGTTGGTCTGTATATAATTATATTTTTGATTATAACATTTAAGGGTAGATATCTCTGATTTTCAATTACGGAAGTACGATGCATAAATTACCGATCTTTTTGAAAATATTACTAGGTGCATGAAAATTTTTACAAATACTTTTTATTTGATGACAAAATTGTGGTATTGAATTTATTTGATTTATTTTTTTGAATATATAATATCAAACAGGTGGCAACACTTCTCCAAATTTTTTAAGCTAGGAATATCTTTTAGGATCTCTGATTTCGATACTCTACCGTTAATATTATAAACACTTTATTAATTTAATCTAATGAAAATATAAAAGTGTGGCAGCTATTTCAATAATATTTGCCTCTTGCCTCTTTAGGTATATTATAATTATCGTTTGTCAAATTTCTTTGATTAAGTTAAATTATTTAAAGAGGTGGCAATCCTACTAATAAAAATTTTTAGCTTAGAGGTTTCTTGGTCTAGTTCATGATTCAATTATATAAGGTTGTGTTGATAGCCCAAAAATAACAATTTGCCAAAAGTAATTGGATCCATAATGTCAAAATCACCCGTTTCGCCTTGTATTGTTTTAATATGAATTAAAAAATAAATTTCTCAAAAATTTCAACCAATGAAAATGCGGTTTTTAAATGATATTTGAATATGAATAGATTGTAAATCACACCAAAACATCAAATTGTAAATAAATAGAAAATTCATAAGAAAAACATAAAACAGTTTTTTTGATATTATGGATACAGACATTTCTTTCGTAAGAGGAAGCATGCTCCCTATCGACACAACCTTATATAACTGAATCATGGTTTAACCGTAATTTAGTGGTTCTCATCTCAAACTATGTTTTGACTTAAACTTTCTAAACAGCTGCCAATTTTTTAGTTTTCTGTTCGCACCGAAGCTGCGAATTTGTAGACTGTCCCATTTAGAATTTGCCTGCAGGGTGTGATGTTTGGAAGTAGGCTTTGATCTTTTTGAATCGGACAGTGAAATAAATTTTACTTTCATACATACATACATAAATATTTAACGGCGCGTGTGTACACTGGTTATATTTGACAAAGCAAATGAAAATAGGCAGTATATGTATGTAAGTACTTACGCCTATTGCAACGCCTTCATAATCGCGATTAGCTCGCTTATCAGCTGTGAGCGGGTTACAATTTTCGTTTTGGTTTTTGCTATTTATGAAAGAGCGTTAAGTTGAGTGACAGTAAAACAGATAAAGCCAGCTTTGTAATTATGACATACATATACTTATATACATATACATATATGGTACATACATACACATACATATACATGCACATAAAACTGACAGAATCGAGTGCAATCGGGTATGGCTGAGAAAATTTATTTAAAAGGTATCATTTATGATATGTACTTAAGAGTACATATAGACTTATATGTGTATAATTTTATATTATGTGTTATAAGTTTAATAAGATTTTCACATTTTCTTAGCGCGTACTGACCTTCCTTGTAATATTATATTATACATATATATAATAAACATATAATTATGTATATGTATGACATATTTATATGTGATGATAACTTGCTAACGTGGTATTTATTTGATAATTTGATAAGGGTATTTACTGAAAAGTATGCTTATGGATTAAATATGTAGTTATCACCATAATCACCATTCGCTAATCTTCAAATTAGTTTTCTTAGTTTTTTACTGATTATAAAATGAACTTTATTTTTACTAGAGACGTTTTTCCCCGAAACCTAAAAACTGATAATAGTATTTCGGTAATAATAATTCATATCTTTTTTCTTTTATAATTATCAAACATTTATAACTGACTAACGATTTGTCAAAAGTAATTAATGCTAAAACAATTGCGAATTCAGGCAAACTGAACATGAGCTTTACAAAGAAATTTTTCTTTTGTTTCTAATTTTGGCCCGTTTTCTCAACTATCTTTTTCTGTCTGCAGGTCCTGAAATGCAAGAATCTATTTGTTACATTTTTGCAGAGTTATAGACATGTTTAACCTATTTCAGTTGCTTAACCGCCAGTCATGACAAAAAGGGAGGCAATGCCGTTATAGGTTGGTGGAAAGACGAGGCAATCATTATACTGTGTTGTTTTTGTTGTTTTTTATATACTACAAATAAATATTTTTTTACAAATAGAACAGTAGTTTTTGTAGAATTAGAAAAGTTAACCAGCAGATTAACCGTCGGTTAAATTTGACGATTATATTAAGGTCGTACAGTTCTGCTTTAGCACGTGAAAGAACAAATAGTTTACTGCTCTTTATAAAGACTACGTTTGACAAGTTTTAAAACCATAAATAAATGTTCTCGGCTTATTTCATAGCCAATATTCCAAAATAAGAGGGAAAGCCTAGAATTAAGACAGTTAACTTAACCATCAACATTTTTTAAATGTACGTTTCAAGTTTTAAAAAGTATTCCAATTACAACTCTTGAATTAGTTGTAAAATTCTTAACCATTTTTCTGATCTGCTGCTGTTCTAGAAAAAAGTTATTAAACAGTAATTGAAAAACTTAAGAAATATTCTTAAAAGTTCCATATTTATTTCTACTAAATTGTATTTTTCCTGCTACATTATATATATATATTTATGTATGTACAATTTATTTTTATACTCTTGCAACTTGTTGCTACAGCGTATAATAGTTTTGTTCACCTAACGGTTGTTTGTAACACTTAAAGCTAAACGAGATAGATATGGAGTTCTATATATACAATATATAAATGATCAGGATGACGAGACGAGTTGACATCCGAGTGACTGTCTGTCCGTCCGTCTGTGCAAGCTGTAACTTGATTAAAAATTGAGATATCTTAATGAAACTTTGTGCAGGTGTTCCTTGGTCGAAAAGGGTGGTCGAGATCGTAGGTTGGCGTAATCGGACCACTGCTACGCCCACAAAACGCCATTAATCAAATTGCCATAACTAAGCCGCAAATTAAGATACAAAACTGTAATTTCGTACAACGAATCGCAATAAAAAGGGGCATTTGTGGTTTGAAAATGTTTAATCAGTGGTCTATTACCAGACTGAATGTACATTCAAGCTATATCACCCAAATTTGCACCGGACAAATCACTTCGGCAGCTCTTACGACAGCGTGAAAATATGTGAAATCGGATGATAACCACGCCCACTCCGCCTATAACGGTTTGGTTAAAAATTACTAAAAGTGCGATAATTCAAAAACCCAAAGCGTCAGAGACATGAAATGTTATATCCGTGATGGTACGAGAGATGCGTATAAGAGCCGATGTCAAAATTGAATGTTGGGCATGGCACCTCTTACCTTTAGGTAAAATTATATATCTCCGAACCTACTATACCAATTTTTATTAAATTTAGTACATAGGATTATTTTGAGATTCCCATGTTATAAAACAAAAATTGGTGAAATCGAATAAAAACCACGCCTACTTCCCATATACAAATCAAGAAAAAATCAATATATTTGGATAAAACTTTGCACGAATAGTGTCTTTGAGGTATGCCACCTTATAACTAAAAATTGTCCAAATTGGATGAAAATTATTCAAACCCCCAAATAATTGAAATTTGGAGAGCATGCTTTTCTGACAATAGTATGTCTGTATGTCAAAAATGGGTCTGTATTTCCCTTAGCTCCCACATACCTAATAGAACAATTTTCGAACTTACTGAATTTATACCCAATATATCGGCCAATATGTGAATTATCTTAATTAAATTCGGTTTATGTCAGATATATTTTATTTGAGGATAATTTAAGTATACTTTTCGCTAACGGGAAGTAAAATATTGTTATAAAACTAATTGAGTCTATGAATTATAAAAAAACACCAAATATGAGTATTTTACTGGCTTTGAATTTAGCCGTTTCTTACTTGTTCTGAACTGTTACTATTTTCAAAAAAGAAATTACTAAACAGTAATTAAAAAATCTAAGGAATTCTCTTAATACCTTCATATATTTACAATTTATTTTTATGTATATTAAACTAATCAGCAGTTGAGCGATTAATGTTATTTCCTAGTCTTTTGTTTTTCTTAAAAATTGTTTAATATTTATTTTATTAGTTTTTCACATTCATTCATACATCTCTGCTTACAACAATTTCACGTACGCATTTATGTTCACTGATGTAAATAACACCACACTCTCTCTCTCTCTCTCTCTTAATTTGCATATTATTAACTTAACGCATAATTCTGCTTTCACACACTCATAGTTAAGGCTATAAGGTTATACATATATTAATATGTACATATATATGTATACTGATTTATATATTTTTTAAGGCTCTCGCATTACGCACACAGTGTAATAAGTCCGAGTTAGTCAGACAGGCCTTTGGCTTGGATACTATCATATAAATACAAGCGCGCTGGGGTCTCATAATTGTCGTTGGACCTAGTAAGATTATATAAGTATATGCATGCGTATGTTATATATGTATAAAGAAAATCATGAATGTATGTCTATTTATATTTATATATTTTTATTAAGCCTAACTAGCTGTTGAACTTATAAAATAGTATTACAAGTCTCTATACTTACTTACACATGGACAAGCCCATGTAAACTTTTGTATTTCCACACACACACTCAGCTTCGTTGAGTAGGCTTTCGCAGAATTGTCATGAATGATAATCCGCTTCTTTTTTGCTAATAAACGTCACATAGTGACCAAAGATAGATTAGCTCACTTCACGCTTCGCTCAACATCATTATTATTTTGAACGAGACATAGTATGAGTAGAACCTTCAATGTATAAATACATACATCATTGTGGTAAAAATAAGTCCGCTTTATTGACTTTTATTGTGTCACTTAATTTTTAAAGCTATAAATAGCTAATTTCCAATACAGTAGCTGATCGCTATTAAATTTAGAGAGATCTAAAAGGAAGATTCATGCATTAATTTGGAGACTCGACGGACTAATGATTAAGATTATATGATTTATTATTATATTTTTAGAGCAATAATATACATTATAAATTAAAAGAATTTTATATATATTTTGGTCACGCCACATATATCTATATACATATATATATGCCATATATACATATGCATACGTACTATATATGGAAATGCAACTGTGCTTTAGAATCAGATGAAAATAAGTAGCAACTGAAAGCGCTTTACAGACGTAGTACTTTATTCATATTTAAAACGGTAAAACAAATAAGTAGCTCTTAGCCTTTCTAAAGAAATATATTGATTAGTTTAGTCACAAAGCGTTTTAGGTGTGGCAAGAATATTGCATACATTTAGGCTTATTGCTACGAATATTTATCATGTAAATATATCTTTTATTATATGTTATTTTTCAGTAAAAAATTGTCAAGTATTGTTCGAATAAAATATTAATTACCTAACGTATTGTTTTAAGTATTCGAAAATTGGTTCTATTTCTATCATATTTTTGACTTTGCTCTTATTATTTACACCAACCTATTCCTCTACCCGACACAACATTAGTAATCATCATTCAGATATATCGAGGTCTGTTTGTCTGACAAATAATATGATTATAATCTCATTATATTCGGGCTGTCGCATATAATCATAACGTGACCACCACTTGACTAACGGAATTCACGTGTCAGACATCAGAGCTGTAAAATATAACATGGCAACAAACAAACAAAATATGAGCAGAGCGAACCAAGAGTAAATATTTTAACAATGTATGACATATTAACTGATACCAACAAAAGATGTTTCAAAAAATTCTTTAAAAAAATCTCTTGACATTTGACCTCCACATTTCAACAGCCAGAAATTTTTACTATATTTTACAATTAATTTCGAAATTTTAAATTAAAAAAGCCTAAAAAGATTTAATGACAAGTACTTTTATAATACTCTAACCTTGACAGGTCTTGTATGACAGCTGTCAAAAATCAGGTTTGTTAATTCTGTCTGAAAAAAATTTTTTTTAGAGAACTCTCCACTTTGCTCTTCGACAATTCTATATATTTTTTCTCTAATTTATTATGTTGGCCTTTGTAATTTATACCAATTGCTTTTTCTATTCGTTACTCTCCATTTCTGGGGGATTCGAAGCATAGCTAATTTTCTACAAAATGCAACTGGATAACTTTGTTGTTGCTGAGCTATAATAACAGGGAGCAGAAAATCGGTGAATCAGAGACTGCTATTAAAAAAAATGTATTAACTTTTTTAACTAGTGTGTTTAAAATTTGAATAAAAAGTCTTTACACATATTCTCAAATTGTATACAAACATCCGAAGCTCCCTCCATTATGGAATGCCAGGCATCAACCGAGTGCGGCGCTACAAATATTTATATTTCCTTTCATGTAAATAAGTATATAATTTTGGCGCTATTTAAGATATTTTCGCTTTCTTAGATTTTAACAATATTTTTTGCAGAATTTCTTTAGAAAACGTTGCGCTTGTTTATCAGCAAGTTGGCAAATAACTTCTGTCTGGCCAGAGGTCTGTTGTGTCACTACGCAGTTTTTAAACGTATTCAAGGAGGCCCAAGCATTTTCTAAAATTTGCACTTTAATATGCGATTGTATGATTTATAGGTTTATTTATTTATTTTTTTTTTTTGTACATTTATTAATCGCTCTTCTCCATATTAATTATCGGCGTGCCGCCTTGTCTGCCTCTTATGTTCGCTAATTTCGAAAATTTATTCCAGAAATCATATGTGTACATGTGAACTGAAAAAATCTTATCTTATCGTTGAAGCTTTTTTCTTTTTAAACTTTGAAATGTAGAGCAACAAAATATAATAAAAAAGCTGCGGCATTTAGCACTCAATGATAATTATTAGGAAAGAGAAAACGCATATATATGCATTTGTTTGTATATAAAAGTTTATACATACGTACATATATACCACTGTACAGCATCTTAAGTTAAGCTAGTCGTAGCTAACAATGGTCTTTAAGATATTTAAAAACATATCTTTGGAGAATAGAGTGAGAGAAATATTATACTCTCTTCATTACTTCGTTAAATTATGAGTTAAATTGCTTTTAAAATATTATATACTATAAATACATATATTTAATCAGTAATTCTCACATCACTTATTCGAAAATAGTATGTTAAGAGGCGTTAATTTCCCTTAACTTGTGTGAACGGAAAGATTATAAATATTCAGTTCATTCGCCCAGTAACAAGTGTATATTTTCTTACTGAGTGTTTCAGGTCTCGTTAACATTAATTGATAATGCATAACGGCGATAAGGAAGCAAGTAATATTGACCTGAAATTATCATTTCTGGTAATTGGTTGTCAATACTATTGTACAAGCAGACAAAGAGACGACCAACAGTTTCCACTGTACATACTTATGTATACCTGAGCATACATAGTTTCGTTAAAGAAGCCCGGAAATTTCAATGACGTAAAGCAATTGAAATACTTTCATATATACAAGAGTAAGTACAGTAATTGCGGACTTTTTTGAAAGTTTGTTGAACTTGATTGTATTGAAGGTCTTCTGATTAATATTTTTGTTTAAGAATTACCAAAAATATAATGAAATATTTTAATTATTCCCATTGAATATGCATAACGATGCGTTTTTCATTTAATTTTTGTTTGGTTCTCATTATACCCTGAACAGGGTATATTAAGTTTGCCACGATGTTTGCAACACCCAAAAGGAAACGACAGAGACCTTATAAAGTATATATGTATGTCGAACTAAGTCGATGTAGTCATGACCGTCCGTCCCTCTGTATACATGTAGTATATGCTATCGGTTTGAAACTTTGCACCCGTCCATTTATCACCACGAAGCTGTGGGATATTGGCCGATATCGGATCACTATATATTACATACATGTATGCATATGTAGCTGTCATACAAACTGAACGATCGGGATCAAGTGCTTGTATGGAAAATTTTTTCATTTGACAAGATATCCTCGTCAAATGTGACATGGGTTAATGTCCAAGGCAACGGTACAATCTCTAAAGAAATTGTACAGATCAAGTCACCATAGCGTATAGCTACCATACAAACTGATCAACGTTCTTGTAAGGAATCTTTTATATTTGTGAAGGGCATTATAGTTTCGGTGCAATCGAAGTCAATGTTTTTTCTTGTTTTCATATAAATGTGTTTCTCTATTTGTTTTTGTTATATAGCTTTGTTATGTCGTCCAAAGTCCCCCTAGATATCCCAGAACGGTTTGCTTTCAATGCAGTTCAAATTTAAACTAAAAACAAGTAAGGAAGGCTAAGTTCCGATGTAACCGAACATTTTATACTCTCGCAAAGTCAAATGGTATACTCGTTTTAGATTTCTTTGTGTATCTTGCCGCCTTGTTCTATGTTGACTGATATTTCCGGTAAAAAGTCAACTATAGGGGTCCACATATTTAGTACTTAGGGGCTTGAACAGTTTTGATTCAATTTAGATAATTTTTGGTCACAAGGTGGCATACATTAAAGGCATTATTCTCGCAAAGCCGATATAATCTTTGTTGCTTGATTTGCATACTGGAAAGTGAAAAAATCAGATGGAATTTAAAATGATGTTATATGAGAAATAGGCGTGGTTGTAATCCGATTTCGTCCATTTTCGTACTGTAATATAGAAATATGAGAAGAAAATTATGTACCGAATTTGGTTTAAATCGGTTTAGCAGATCCCAAGATATGGATTTTCACCAAAAAGTGGGCGGTGCCACGCCCACTATCTAATTTTGAACGCGGTTCCTATAAAGTCATCTCATACCATCCCAGAGATAAAATTTAATGTCTCTGGCGTGTTTAGTGCTTGATTTATCGCGCTTTTAGTAGTTTTTAACAGTACCGTTATATGGGAAGTAGGCGGGGTTGTCATCCGATTTCACCTATTTTCAGACCGTCGATAAAGATGATGATGTGAATTTTGTTATTATAGCTTCAGGGGTATAGGAAATATGCACATTAAACTTATGAGGGGGCGGGACCACGCCCACTTTACAAAAAAATTTAAACTGCACATGCCCTGCTCTAGCGTGATTCTGTATACCAAATAAGAGTCTTGTATCTTGTTGTGGAGCTTAGTTAGGGTTTTGATTAATATCGTTTTGTGGGCGTGGCAGTAGTCCGATTACGCCCATCTGCAATACCAACCGTGTTACGGTACCAAGAAACATGTGTATCAAGTTTCATAAAGATATCTCAATATTTTCTCAAGTTACAGCTTGCACAGGCAGGCACGGACAGAGGGACGGACAGACAGTCACCCGGATTTCAACTCGTCACTTCATCCTAATCATTTATATGTATAACCCTATATCTAACTTGACTAGTTTTAGCTGATACAAACAACCGTTAGGTGAACAAAACTATTATACTCTGAAGCAACAAGTTGCAAGAGTATAATTACGTCTGTTTTCAATACGCCATATCTTGGAGAGTACCGACTTGAGTTGAGCGAACAAATGGCATAAACTACCTAGTACAATTAAAAAGATGTAGAATTTCGAGCTTTTAGACCGCTTTAATGAAATGTCAGCATACTCTCTTTTATTGAATCCAACTAAATAGCTGACTTTGTTGTTGCTTTCACAAATAATTTTGTAGCTTTTCTCTGTGTGTAAAATTAAATGCGTCAAATTAATGCATAGGGAACCTGGTGAAGTCAAATGAGTACTTTTGCCAAGGTCAGATATATACATATGAACTACTAGTACTACCTTACAATACTAATAATATTTATTTTATAAATAATAGATATTTAAATTGAAATTACTCTTTGTATATGTTACCTCGAACCGATTTCCATCAAGTAGTGATTAAATAATACTACTTGTAAATATATTAGTAAATTTACTTTGCTATATATGGATCATGTTTGTACTGGTAGTATAAATATTTACCGATTTTAAAATTTGCGTTTCATTTATCAGCTAAATCGTAAATTTTTCCATGACATTATTTTGTATTATATATGCATACTGTATGTACAGATGTAGGTACTAATGATCAAGCATTTTATTTCATCAGAATTTGTGTGTGTTACTGTTTGGCGGCGAAGTGCTACTAGACTTAGTTGAAACGTGTTATATTAATTAATACTAATTTTCATTGAATAATTTGCAAAATAATCAGCAAAACTTCAACTGTAAGAGTAATACTTCAATTTATTAAAAAAAAAATAATAATAATTTTATCACTTTTATCTTTTCAGAATTTCACTGTGCTACCAGAAGCTAAAAAGACGCGTTGCAAGTGGGTCCCACTCTGTATAGACGAGTTCGCCAAAATTGCACAAAAAATTTCCTACCCGACAAGTTACACAAATACTGCAAACCTGCACCTCATAAACGATCCGTTTACTATAATGGAGGGGTTCGTGCATGACTGGCCCACGCCACCGCCCACAGACATCCCCCTGCACATGGATCTAGTCAGCGAACTGCAGGGCGATGGCGGTTTTGAGCCGCAGACGCGTGCCAGATCGAATACCTGGCCATGTCCGCGGCCAGAGAATTTTGTCGAACCATCTGATGATTTGGACAGCACGAAGGCGAGTAATCAACAGCTGGCGAGTGCAGGTGAGTGCAAGAAATCAGCAATCAGATCATGTAATGCTGGGGAATATAGTATTTCGGTTAGCACACTAAGGCTAAGCACAGCGTTAACTGTAGAGTTAAGTTAAGATAGCATGATAAATTTTACTAAATGCTAGCATAATTATCAAAAATTTCGTCTTGGAATGGAATTTGAAAAAATTTTAAATTTACTCTGTGCTTAGCCCACGCTTATGCTAAATTGTAAATACTTGTGAAAAAAAATCAAATATTTTAAGAACTTCTTATGGAAATATTCTAAAAGAATTCTAATATAAATTTTCAAAAATATTTATATACATTCTCTAGCTGTTGTGTGTTGGGTATAAAAAAATTAAAAATAAGTGTTAGACTGCAATAACAATCATCTACGCATACACACATATTTACATACATATAGAGCAATTCCCAGATGTACTTGTATTTATTAAATGCGAATAACACACAGCTATTGTAAATCCATAGACATACACATCCATACATATTTTTATATGTATAAATCAATTTACTCGTAAACATATTTGTTATCAAATATTTTCGATTTGCATCAATTGTAAGTAAAAATTGGCTCGCATCGCTTGTGTTTCAGATTCGCAACAGACTATACAGAATATAAATACAGCGAAAAAGAACTCATCACGTCGTAATGCGTGGGGCAATTTGTCGTATGCGGATTTAATAACGCATGCCATCGGTTCGGCGACCGACAAGCGGCTAACGCTGAGCCAAATCTATGAGTGGATGGTGCAGAATGTGCCGTATTTCAAAGATAAAGGCGACTCGAATAGCAGTGCCGGCTGGAAGGTGAGTACAGAGCCTTCATATTTTCATATAAGTATTTTTTATAGCTTTGTTGTTGCACACGAGTGTTTTGCTTAAAGGCATATCAATTAATAAAAAATACTCGCTGTTTGCGAAAGTACGGTCTCACAATGTCCTCGCGAGTCAATAAATGCACACATTTCTCAAAACAATAATAACAACGAAAAACAGCACCAAAATATAAACAATGGCAAATGGCGCAAATATGTAATGTAAGAAGAGGACACATGTTGTTTGTTTGTAAACAACTATGAGTTTGATTGCAACAAATTGGCGGGAAAATATTATGCACATAATTTGCTGCAAAACATGAAAATTAATTTAGCGTACATCGTGTGTGTATGTTTATATGGCGATGGGTGCTATTTAATTGTACTATCGACTCGCTTTGACATATTTTTGTGAGAATTAAACAAATTCGTGGGAACCTGCGGGTTTGATTCGATGATTTCGGTTTCGAATTCAGAAATATTTTATTTCCAATTCAGTCCTGTTCCATATAACTATCCTATTTGAAAAGTAAAAAAATCGTTTTTAGATTGAGTACAACAATACATTTCGATTTCGAAATTTTAATTGAAACGAATTTTCAAGTATATCTGAATTTTTTTCCTGCTTTCTAAAAATATTTATAATTTTTGTAAGCATACAGCTATAGCGACTTATTCAACGATTTTGAGTATTTCTTACCAAATTTTTTGTTTGGGTTCTAATAAGTATTTTTATATATGAAATTTTGAGAGGTTTTTAAAATGTTGCTAAGTTTTCATTATATATTATATTTATATATTGGTTCTTGTATTTAACCTTAAATCTTTAGATTACTACACGTTTAAGATAACAACTAGGCAGTATAAAAGACGAAGAAACGTTTTTGAAAAATTACCAACTTTTAGGCGTAATTACTATTATTATATACAAACACATAATTTTATGTTAACATGCAAATAAGTAAAACACCTAAATGTAGGCTATCTTAATATCATCCTTAAGAGGCACGTACGTAAATAATCTGAAAATAATTTAGTTAAAATCTGAAAGTTATGATAAGGATTGTATTGTATTTAAAATTATTAGTTTTTTATTCTCCCAAACAAAAACAACAAAAAGCGTTAATTTCGAATGAAACACCCTTCACAGGTGCTTTTGTTATAGCATATAAGGTTATAAAAATACACAAATTACAAACTTCGTGGCAAAATTAATATACCCTGTTCAGTTAATAAAAATAGTTAACGCTACAAACGATTTAATATTAATAAGATACAGAGGCATACTTTTCACCTTATTTGTTGGAATATTAATATATTAAAATAAGTAGTTTTTCGATATTTTATATGTTAAATTTAATATTTATACTATTAAAAGTATGATTATTTATTATTTATAAGAGCTTGTATTTATTAACTACAAAAAATGTTTAACATATAATTATTTTGTTTTTATTCTTAATTAATAATTAGTAAGTTTATATTTTAAAACCTTAAAATCGGCTACTCCAAATAGTTCTTAGCTTTCCTCCGTAATTAATTATTAATTTTTATTTCATAAATGCGTAGTTATTTTTATAAACAAAAATGTATAATAAAAATAAAAACTTAATTTTCAAGAAGGTTTACTAGCAATATTTATGGTTTTAATTTAAATTAAAAAATCATAAATTATAATTTAAGTCATTATTAGAATCGTTAAAACACTTCAAAAGAAACTTAGATAACTTTCCATTTGCCCATATGTGTTAAGTAGTGCAAATCATACACTTAAACACATATACAGACACACTTGTACGCGCACACCTTAACGCGTACTCCAAAGTTAAGTGAAACAAAGCATTTAAGTTGATAAGCGCTTCCACCAGCCGCCCCTATTGCAGCCCAAGCGCTAGGTTAGATCAACTTGATATTCTACAACACACAAAAACACACACACATACATACGTACCTGTTGCATGTGACCAGCAGCTGTTGACTAAGCAAACAAATCAAATTACGGCTACGAAAACGCTTGTTGGCTCTGGCCAGCGTCAACGCTTCTGTCTATGCACAACTGTTGCTATTTGTTTTGGCGTTGTTCTTGTTGTTATTTTGGTTGCTTTTTGTTACACTTATTCAGCTTTTTCATAGTTTGTTGTTTTTGGTTTGCTTGCGATGCATTTTACCTTCCACGCGAGCGCTCTCAAGTGTACTACTACGTAGCAACAAAGTTGAATATGAGGTTTGTTTGCTTCGCCATTGTTGTTGTTGTTGGCTTATACATTTTTCGCATTACACTCATTTATGTGTTTTATGATTTGTTTTGGTTTGTTGCTTTATATCACATTCACAGACACACAGACAGACAGGCAGACGGACAGACAGGCAAACGGACGGACGGACGGACAAGGTGTTGTTGTGTGTTAGCTGCTTTTTATTTTTTATTTATCATCATTACCGCTATTATGGCCACTATTTGTTTGGCTTGTGGGTTTTTACGCGGCGAGAGTCAAGTTCAGGGCCACTGCTGTTGGATAGCTGGGTTGTTGGTTTTGTTAGTTACTCGCTTTTGTTTGGTTTGCTTTTTTCACTTTATTTTATATATTTTTAAAACGTATTGTACTAAGCAAACTAGCTAGCTGTCAATGCGCATATTCGATGGCGGATCGGTTCGGTTCACTCACCGGCTTGGAGAATTTCCATTTAATTTCACTTTATTCTTTGGCCTTATTTGATCAGCTGTGCTTGTTGTCTTCCGCGCTGGCATTTCCACCGCATTTTGTTGTTATTGCTTTAGTTTGTTTTGATTGCTGCTTTCGTCAATTCTCCTCTCTGCGTCACCCGTAAATTTTGGCAGAAATGGAAAAAATGGCACACTGTCAACGATTATGCAAGTGGTAATTCACAAATATTTTTTCTTTGTGCTTCTTTAATTGCTTTTTAAAAATATGTTTGCTATTATTCAAAGCTTTGTCAATAATTTTATTGCAGTCGTACGCTACTCAAGCGTCATTAACACGTAAGAGCGGAATGATAAATGCGCTTTGTTTGAGAAGATAATTAAAATTGAACAATTTGAGCATGAATTGCAATTATTGTTTTTTTTTTTGTAGAATTTTGCATTGCAATAGTTGCTATCGATATTTCTGCACTTTGGCAATCTGAGGTTTGGAGTGGAAAGTTTCACACTTTTTGTTATACAGAGCATTGATGCATGTTGTTGTCAAGAGTGAATATGAAAAATTCCAAGGGACTAAAATTATTTAATGATTATTTTCGTGAAGTTATTTTCGCAATATGATGATTAATAGCACAGTTTAGTAAAGACGACTTAAAATCGTTATGCCTCGAAAAACACCAGTGTTTAGAAACTTTAACGAAAAAATTTTCCTTCGTTTCTTATAGCAACTATAACTATTACGAAAATCGTCGAAAAATTAGACACGAATCAAGGGCTGGTTGTATCAAGTCTTTATAATAATAATATTTAATGTCATACCTACCATATATAATATTAAGAACTTCTACATTGGAGCCCACATTGATAATGAAAACAAAAAACTTCCAAACACGGTTCACATCGACTGGGCAAGTTGCGTAACCTTTTCATAAAACTTTTTTAATATCTATTCGAGGCATTTTAAACTCACATCATTTTGCCGCTTGCAACAAACTTATTTTTGACAGCAACAAACAACAACGCATTGATTGACTCTCCCTACTGACACTCAATAACTTCTTTGTTCTCTTAAGAATAGAATACACAATCAACAATACGAAAAGAAATGACTTATGGATAACTACTTTTTCGCAGCTGTGCCGATCCGACTGTGCAAAGTGTTTCAGATATGTGCTTAAAGGTATTCGAAATGGTTTTTATTATCGTAAGACTGCGTTTACACACCCAGACGTTTCTTGATGTTGTTTATTGCATTCTTGCGGTCAACACGAGTAGACAACTTTTGCAACCCTTTTTCATATCACATTAGCTAATTTTTGTACAATTCATTTATGCGCTGTACAAAAACATTTTTCACTAGCAAATTTGTATATATATTCAACCGTTTCTAATAGAAAACATATTCATTTGGAACAGAGCACAATTATAACCACGAAAAAAATTTAAAAATTTAAAGGAATGTGAATTGCAGTGAACTGTTACGAACAAGCACATAAAGTGTGTTGCCCGAGCACGAGCGACACAGTCTCTTCGTCGTTCCTCGTCGTCCCCACGTCTACAAAAAACGAGTTTGAGCGACAAGAGTCTTGATGTATGAACTCAAGGTAAGGATCTTGTAAAAAGAGAATTGAAAAAATTCGGCTAATAAAAGATCATCGGAATATTTAGTTTTTTAGACAGAATATACAATTCAAAACATATATGTAAATATGTCGAAAGTACAAAACACTAATAGATTTACTCTTGTCTGTTATGAAGGGTCTTCTTCACGTTGGAATACAGGAATAAGAAATTTGATATTTACTAAGGGACCATAAAATCAGAAACTGAAAAAGTTATCGTTTTAAAAAATTAGATCACGGTTCTAAATGATAAACGGTCTTTACAGTTATCTCGAGAGCTACAGTAATCTAGAGTGCAGTCATTTACTTTTTGTGTTGAAAAGTTTATACCATATACATATTAATGTTTGTGCCATTGTTAAATCGCGGATTATATATTTAGTTATTATCTTCATCTTTGTCTTAAAAATAGTTGCATCTTAAAAGACTTGTTATATTATAGAAATTGTCTACCATTGTATTGTTAATCAGTCAAAATTAAGGACTTTCCCAGCTGATAGTCAATATACGAATAGGTGATTCCAGCATTGTCGACTTCAAATACAGGGATAGAAGATAGAGAACATTTTCGTTCAATACCATTTTCGATTCGTAATCTTCGATCATTGACATTAAAGTGTGAAATGATTTGTGGAACTATACAGAGACGGGACTGTATTATACCCCATCATGGTCTAATTTAAGTGTTAAAAACCCCTGCAAATATTTAATTTTGACCACTATATATTTACCTAAGTACAAATCAAGCACCATCAATAAATCTTACTCATTATCTTCAGTCTTTGGTATCTTATCGGACTGTTAATCGCTGCTTTAGGAGAGTTTTTTCTTCTTTTTTTAAATATGAAACCGTCAATCTATTATTGCTTTCTTTCTACTTCTTTTCGGATTTTATCAAGACACGATTTACAATCACTAATTAGTAGAGCGTTGATAACATTACTACGGGGTACTTTCCGCTGCTCACCGCCCTCACTAATGCTCTCATCTTAGCGCGTCCACTTAACCTTCAATAACATTCGATATTTGTACTTGGAAACTTATCAGCAAATAGGCCTTAGACGAACTGTTTTAAATCAATCATAATTGAGTACTATTTCCTGAATACATACATATATCTGCCACCATGTTGCATGCTTCCAACGGAAGGCATTTGCGTATTTATTATTAATGTCATTATTTGTACGAGTATAATCATATTTCCTGTGTTTTGTTCTTTCCACCAAGTCTGTTATGTTTTTTGATATATGTTTGCATGCTTTCGATATCGATCGGCTGCTCGCGTTTTCCAGGTATTTGGGTTATGTTTTAAATAATTTTAGGTATGAAATCATATTGTTTTTAATTGTGAACTGCGGTCTTGTTTATTTCGCAGTTGGACGGTATTGCATTGATGTTTAGGAATTTAATCAATTTAGATCTGGTAAACAATAATGTATGTGGACTTACAATTAAATTACGCAGATTTGTTTTAATGAGGCAAATACTTGTTTTTCTTGATATTGCAAATATATGAAATTTTAAGCTTATGAGTAACAAGGGAGAGGTGCTTTGACTGCTAAGACGCTATTATGTTTGATCCCTGGCGGTGTTTCTAAACTTTTTGGCTTTGCCCATATATTTATAATTTCACTAAAAACGCTATTTAAGTATAAATTTGGCAGAAATTAGTTTTTTATACACATATTTTTATAGACAATCCATCAATTCAATCATCTCTTTGCTCATCGCTAACATCATCACATAAATTAAGCGCTGATTTTTACTTCTCGTTGGAATAAATCTGTATTAAAACCACAATATAACTCACTTTTCCAAATGATCATTTAATTCACTATGTAATTATTTATACTTCTGCGCAATAATTTTTATTGAATAGTATAGTTTATTGTTATTTCCAGTTATTATGATTGTGCAACATTGATTTATCAATGGTGACGGCAACACGTTTTGCGTGAAATTGCAATGAAAAATGCAAATTGTACATTCCACTCGGTATTATACCCGTATGTATGTCGTAGGTGTGTAAAATGGTGTGAGCAAATATAGATTTTGTATACAGATTTATTTTTCTTTGAGCGTTACATTTAAAAAAAATATTTTTAAAATAAATATTTATAAACAGTGAACTTGGAACTAAAATATTTTAGTTGCGCGCCAAAATGTAGGCCACAATTTCTGTACTGCTTCTTACAATGCAACTTTTGTTGACTATATCGAGTTGTAACAAAATTAATAATGAATTTAAAGAAGTATAAAGTATAAAAGTATAAAATATTGCAAATTTACTTCGAAAGAAACATATAAGGCTAACAATATATTAAAATCGTGGCAAGAGTAAACATTTAGGACCTTAAGGCTTAATATTTATTGCTACACTTAAAGATATACTGAAAATAATGCCCAATTTACTCCCTTTACAATAAATTATAAACCAAGTCCTACTTTAGTATCTCATGACACTGGTCTTTCAAAAGGAATAGACTAGCCAAATTTACAAAAGCTTTTTCCATTATTCAAAATAACGCTCCGCTGGACATGAAATAGCTTTATCAAACAATTGTCATCCGAATATAACTTACGCTTTTATGCTGTGGTAGCCTAGAATCTTTCCTGGTCTCATGATATGTAAGAACGTATAAAACATAATCAGAAATCCGGTGTTCTAATTTTATGACTTCTAATTTGAGCAATTATTGGGAGTATACATATACAAATATATAGTAATCTCTAGTAAGTGATGGATGACCGAATTAGTGCGAGTATTTGAGTAGCGGTCGTCAGTAAAATTATTTGTAACAATAAAGATATGACGACGTACTCCAATTATATGACTGTTTTGAATGAACTGAGTCGAAAAATTTTCTTCATGGTATTGGTTAGACAAACCATTAGGATCCACTTTATTAAAAGAATAGTAATAATAATAAATTTGAAGTCTTATCTTCTGAATTATTATTTTCCTATAGATGAGCTTTCAAAACCGTATTTTTTTATCTGAAAACTTAATACAAAAGTCGCTAAAGTTTTTTTTAAGTGTATAAATGCAAAACTTCCATATATATACATATGGTATATACAAATGCAGGTAATTACGTACTTACAAGAATATTTGCGAACCAGTCTGTAGTTAATTGTGTCTGAGAACGCTAAGAATTCTGTTTTATCATAGCAAGTGTAGTAATTGCGTCGAAGTATTTAGTAGTCACACCTCTTTCACGTTTAGAAGGTGACTTTTTGTAACGGTCTCAATTTGTATGCATTTGCGTATACTGTATATAATATAATGGACGTGAATATTTATGTATATAAACCTAAGTCGGCACATGTGTCTATGGCACTTGCAATCAAAACCTGAATTAAATAATTAAGTGCGAGCCGATGGACTGAGGGACTGCTTTTTTAGCAGTTGCAAATGAAACGACGTGGCGTGAGAATTTACAGTTTGGACCGACAAAGCGAGGCTCGTGGCAGCCATTTTATTTTTTTATGTCAATTTAGTAGAAATGCTTAAGCTATTATCGCCACTAAGCTATCTCTTCTACAAGTGAACTTTATTCAGTTATACTCGTATTGTAGGCTTTCTTGTGAAGTCATTTTCTTTTCACGATGATCGAGTTTTGGACTGCATGCTGCTATCAAACCTCTAGTTTATGAATAGGTTG